TTTCAAGCGAGAACTAACTTCGAGGCAGGAAGAGACGAGGAACGTAAAAAAGGCAGGCGGGTTACGCAAACGAGGAGGGATCGGTATCCGTCATTCGTCTTTCTCTCCTTTTTTTTAGAAAGCCCGTACTTAACTCGAAGCCGCCTCGACAATAGCACGGGTCCGTTCGTTAAACGTGAAGTTAACGCCGACTTTCCCCGCGCAAGGCAGCAAACGCGCGGCTGGGTGCATCGTCGAGCAAGCCCGCGCGCCGAGAGAAGAGCCGGGCGATACAAACATGGCGCGGGAATCGGAAACCGCCGATCCGCGAATCGGAGCGGAGCGCGTACGCGGTGACTGACAACGCGCGCGGATCAATCGCCTCTCGCGAGAAAGCGGGTTACGCGCGAGCTAGACAATCTTCCCCGGTGAGGTCGATTTCGTTTTTCCCATCCTCAATTTTCCGATTTCCGAGTAACCGGAACACACAGCACTTTAGGCTGTGCCCCGAGGGGCCGTTCAGGGATCTGATCCCGGAAAAGTGTACTTTGTACGAAAAACTAGAGAAATCTATACACCGAAAAAAATATCTGGTTAAAAATGGACGAATCAGAATTTTCTGGTTAAATTTATTAGAATTCTAGTTGAAATAACTGGAATTCTGGTTGATACAATATTTCTGGTAAAATTCTTATTTTTACCAGAATATCAATCAGAATTTTAGTTAACTCAACTAAAATTCTAGTTGATTTAACCAGAAAATTCTGATTCGTCCGTTTTCCACCAGAATTACTGTTTAATCCAGACCATTTTTCTCAGTGTAATATACGTATATCGTAGTATTTTCGTATGCAATATTTTTCAAGAATTTTTCAGGCCCTGGGGTGCGTTCCGTTTCACGAATGATGGCGTATTATTTTATCCTTGTTTAATATTCGATGAACAACAAGGGGAAAATACAGCATGCACTGAAAAAATGATGTAATATCAATAGCATTATTTTAATTGAAAATAATTTGTTTATTCAATAACATTCAATGAAACAAATAAAATTTTATCAAAACAAGAGCATGGCGTGTTTGTTTCATTAATAGTGTTATTGATTTAATAAAAATATTTTCAAATTTTAATAAAATATTAAAATATATTAAAATAATGTTGATATCATTTTTTTCAATGTGCATCATACATGAAACGGAACTCACTCCTGTATTCGATTCTGTAATTTTTAACGACAATTCGGTATCGTTACATCGTCATTACGCAGTCTGTCTTTTTCACCATTAAGTAAAAAAGTTTCCACTGTATAATACCTGCGAAACGACAATATAATTATTATATGTCAAGAGTTACAAAATCGGGAAACATCCTGTATCACACTACGCATTGAAGATTAAGGATTCCGAATTGGAGATTTATAGAATTCGGCCAGTCAGATAATTTTAATTTCCATCCATTCCGTTCCGACTGGCTGGCTGAATTCTAATCTCTAATTCACAATTTCAAATCTTCAATGCGGGATGCCAAGAGAGATAAAACAGCGTTTATGCCGACTTTGTGCCACTAATGCCCATTTCAACTAATGTAATTTAATTTCAATCTCAGTTCAACCGACTCTTCAATTTTTTCTAGTTCTAAGAATTAGAGAAAAATTAAGAGTAAGTTGTGAACCGAGATTAAAGTTAATCTACATTGATGGAAATGGACCTAAATGGAAAGTGCCAAGACACACATTTTACACGGGCTTTAAAGCATAGGACATCCTCTGGATGTCTTCAGGAATACGTCCTACGGAAGTCTGTGCCATATGGGAAGTTTCTCGAGTTCGACCGTAGACCACAGACCGGTCGATCAATTGGATTACAATTCTCAATCCGCATCGCAATTAGAACTGCGATCTGGAAGGGGCCGAGGTATCGCGAGTTGCGAGTTAATTACGACTGTTACGGCAATCAGTCGCATCGGCGGTTTATGACCGGCTAATTCCAGTTAACGACTGCTCCCGACCTCATTCCGTAGCTAAAACGTTAAGTTTGTTCACTCAAGTTTCGCTTTCCTAGCATAGTATATACTCGCGATATCTGGAGAAGGAAGACGTAAGAGGGAAACGAAAGCGCGAGAAACGAAACTCGAGTTTAAAAACTCGAGTGCGGCAACTCGAGATATCGCCTAACACCGTGGACAAAAAGATCGATACATCGGCAACTTTGCGCGGTTGGTCGGAACAATTTCAAATTGAAGAAGTGGCCACCAGCCAGAGTGGCTCGCCAGCTAGTAATTGTAATTATAATGTGACTAATAACTTTTTAATATCCTCCTTCCACTAATATAGATTAACTTTAATCTCGGTTCAACTTACTCTTCAATCTTTTTCCAATTCTAATTGTAAGAATTAGAAGATGAGTAAGTTGAACCGAGATTAAAGTTAATCTACATTTGATAAAAACGAGCATAATTCAACTTGATTTAATTTCCTACTGATTTTGATATCGCTCGTATTCATTCGTTCGTTGGATTTCGTTTCGCATCATTGAGATCCAGGGCTGCTCCAATTCACGCTCACAACGCTCATAAGCATCATTTCTCCTTGTTTTTAACTTCCGGCGCTTTTCATTTAGTGACACGGAGCCCACACAAATATCATTTTACCTCTCTTGGACTCAATTTAACTTATGGTTGAACTTAATTTGATGATGATGTAAAAAAATGCATTTTCCTATAATTTTCCTATAATCACTAAACTGATTTTGTGAATGAGTAACTTTTGAAGTTATTATTACAAAACATTCAATTTGGTGACTGATCATAGCTAGAAAAACACAATTTTTACATTATCATAAGGTTAAGTAAAGTTGAATCTAAACTACAAGTTAATCGGAAAATAAAAAACAGAACCTCGATATCTCACGAATAACAAAGATAGTACGACTTATCAAATCGACCGGAATCAAATGGAAAGCCTTTGACGAACAACAAGGGTGAAATGGCTGTGTTCAGCAGAAGAAACAGTTTTGCAACTGTTGTAAAATTCCTTAATATGAGTGGTTAATACAGTCAGATTCAGTGAGTAACTATAATAAGAGCAAGACCATCATATTAACCCTTTGCACACGATTGAGTCTCATTCATGCTTTACATTTTTTTTCTTTAAAAAACTAGGAGTATCAAGTATAAATTAGTTATAACATTTGTATACAATAATTTTTTTTAAATATACAACCTTTCAGATACTTTTTAAAGATATTGAAATATATGTAAGAATCATAATATTTATAATGGCTCAATAATAATAAACAAACACAAACCAATAATAAGGAACACGAACCAATAAATGATATATTTAAATATTCAGACGTTTCGACCTTTTATCAGGCCATCTTCAGTGTTTACAAAATTTAAAACATTAACAATAAATTAAGCTTCTAACGGTTAGATACACATAATTCTATTATAATTGCGCAAAATACGTTTCTGTGACAATCACAGAATATATGTAAGAATTATTTAGTAATTTTTGTATATCTGTTAAAGTGATAATTAACTCAGGACACGAATGACCTATCACGTGTAGTAAAGGACCGGAAAATCATTGCGTGTAACTAAAGGCTAAAGAATTTTATAGTTACAGAGCTTTTTTTTGCTGAAAGCAGTCGATGGCTGCGTTCAGCAGAAAAAGCAACTTTGTAACTGTTGTAAAATTCTTTAATATGATTGGTCTTGTCCTTAGTTCCTTACTGGACCTAAATGTATAAACCAATCATACTCAAGAATTTTACAACAGTTGCAAAGTTGCTTTTTCTGAACGCAGCCAATGATTCCATGAGCGTTCACATAGTGAACGTGAATTGGATCGACCCGTGTTCGAATTGGGTATTGAAATGATTCGCTCGAAGGCGAGATTCAGGGATTCGCGAAATGACCCAGCAAACAAGACATTTTTTGTCATTTTGCACTGGCGGATTCAAAAATTTGTCAGGGAGCCATTGGCTCGCCGAAATATTTTTAAGATCAAATATAAAAAAATACAATATTAAATTATTTAAATGATTACACTGAAAAATTATCATTTAAATGAGTATTTCATAAAACATTTTATTCAAAATTAAATTAACAAAGAAGAATCTAGGGGTCTAAGTTAAAAAATATGTTTGGAATATATCAAGTCGTTAAGTATTTCAGAAAATATTTAAAACAATTTATAACATGCTACAAATATTTTTAAAAGAGGAAACTCTAAGAGGAGGGGGGGGACATAATCATCATGACCCCCCTTCCCATTTCGTGAAACCGCCAGTGTCATTTTGACATTAAAGACGTCATTTTGACGTCAAGAACGACCGACGATGAACAATGTCAGTCCGTTCGCTGGGAAAATCGTTGAATCCTTGAGAATTTTCTCCTCGCGATGGCGCGTGTCTGCGATCGAGCCTTTCGCACGTCAAGTCTCGAATCGATCTCGCGGGGGAAGGGCGGATATGAGAGAGGAAAGGGGAGGCAAGCAGGGGAGCATCATCGCGTATATACGTTCGAACGAGAGAAACATACAAAAGAGGTAAGCGAGAGAGAGAAGAGAGAAGAACAAACGAATGGCTCATCGTCTATCGGTAGGTAAACTGGATTAACCCGACGAACCGGGTTCTCCGGTCGCGATATACGCGCGATGCACACGCTCCGAGCAAAAAGAACCGGCGAGACGGCGAAGGGGGTGGTGCGGGAGCGTGGAGAGGGAAGAGCCCGCGCGGATGGAAACGAGCGGGGTCTCCGGGTGCGCAGAGGAAGGGGGAGGCGGGGAGGGGTAGAAGGGGGACGGGAGGCGAGAGGATGGCCGAGAAAAATGGAGTTATACCGAGCGATCAATGGCCGGTCGGAATTTTCACAACGGAACGCCAATCATCTTTATTTTTATTTTTCTCCTCTCTCTCTCTCTCTCTCGCTCTCCTTTTATTCTCGATGAACGATACGATACGTACTTTTCCCTCGCCTGAGAGTCCGAGGGCACCGCCGACCCTTTTCCCTTCGCGTACATGGTCGCCGTGGTGGTCGGTCAATGCTTCTAGCGTAAACACAAGTGCGTCGCCGTTCCTTCGTACGTTCCGCGCTGGACGGCTGGAGTGGTTAAAAAGTACGGGAGATCGGCGACTCTCTCGCGGGCGCGCTACGCGCGTTCCCCGTTGTATACGTTGTGTGCAGCGTCTGTCTCTCGCTCACCCGAGCGAACGGCGAACGGTAATCGCTCGGCGTGCTTACGTCGCTGACGTGCGACGTCGTGTCAAACGAAACGCGACCCCGAGGAAAAGGTGCACGTACACAGAACATATACACAGGGCGCACGCACACACATACACACACAAACACACGCGTGCGCGCGCGCGCGCATACACACACCACACTTTTTCAGTTTACGTCCGTCTCTTTCCCGCTCGTTGCAGCACAGAAAGGAGTCTCACGGGAGGTATTTCCGTCTCTTTCTCTCTCTCTCTCTCTTTCTTCTTCTCTTCCTCGCCACCTCCCCGTCTTTCTTGCTTGCTTGCTTGCTTGCTTGCTTGCTTGTTTGCTCGCTCGCTCGCTCGCCGATAAGAAGGTCTTCTCCGTCCCGCTTTCGTCGCGTCACGTCACAACTGGAGCGAGGTGCCTGCTGCTGCGCGATACTGGAGCGACACGGTGCGACGCATCACGACGACGTCGTCGTCGTAATCGTCAACGGTTCAGGTGCGTCGCTGGGGGCGCCTCGTCGTCGTCGCCAGCGCTGCCGCCGTCCAAGTCCTCATCGTTTCTTCTGGAACTTCCTTCCTGCAACCTCGCAGTCTTTCCGGTATCGTGTCTTCGCGATTTTTTTCGCGTTACCGCTCGAATCGAACACGCGACGCGTCCTATTGTCTTGGCTCACGATCGTTACCGACGTCGTCGTCAGCTCACTTCACTCCGTACGCTCGCTCGTTAGTCACTGTCGGTCGCCTCGTATTCGTCGTTGCGTATCGAAGACGAGCAATCCGTTCGTCGTCGTCCTCGTCGTTGTTGTTGCCGCCGCCGGACGCGGCTGTCGTCCTCCGACGAATCTCGCTTTGTCGCGCGCGCTCTCAGCCCGAAAGCGTCTCGCAACACGGGAACGGTATATCACTGTGGCCGCACGATGTACATAACGCATACGTGCTCCGTGCGCGCGCACACATGTATACGCACACGTAAACTTCACACACACACATACACCGAGTACGCGCGCACGCACGATCACGTATTACACGCACACGCGCGTTCTGCGCACAGCCCGCGCTAGAGAGACGCGACAGCGACGCGAGAGATGGAACGAAGTTGGGAAGTGAGAGACGGAGCGAGGAGAGCGGGAGCGGATTGAACTTACTGTCGTGTAAACACGAGCAAGTTCGGAAGTGTGACTCGTGGATTTCGCACGCGCTGCACGACTACACGCAGATGAGTCGGCGAAGTGCACCATCGCCCCCCTCCCCGCCTCTCTTCTTCGCTCCGCGCCTATCTTCGTTACGCTCTGTCTCGCTCGCTCGCTCGCCGCTCCCTTCAGCCCGTTCCCCCCTATCGCTCGATCTCTCGCCGTATCGATGCGCCGTCCTCGTCCCTCGCACCGGCCGGGAACGCTGCGCGCGCATCGCCGCTTGTTATGCCAGTGCCGTTACGAGTGGCTCGAAAAACGAGGGGGCGAACGAAACCCCGCTTCTCCATGGTTGCGTGATGATTTTTTCCGTTGCCCGTTTTCTACCGATGTAGATTAACATTAATCTCAGTTCAATTTACTCTTCATCCTTTTTTAATTCTTATAACTAGAAAAAGAGTTAGTATAATCGGATTAAAATTAAACTGCATTGATAGAAATGGACATGTATCGTCGATACGAACAAGTGGCTGCGTTCTGCAGAAAAAGCAGTTTTGCAACTGTCGTAATATTCTTTGTTTTTTGTCTTGGTTCTTGTCTTTAGTTCTTCATTGGATTAAATGTATTTATATTCTCTAAAACTTTTGAAGTGATCTCACTCTTTTTCAAAATTGACTCAATTTTCACTCTTTAGAGTGAGATTTTACTCCAAAAAACTTAGAGAATAAATATTAAAGAATTTTACCACAGCTGGAAAGCATAACGTTGGCATAATATAATAATTATATTTTTCTAGTCTAAAATAATAAAAGAAAATCGACCTGCGATACTTTCATTTTAATTTTAAATGAATATTTAATTGTAATAAAATCTCACGAATATTTTTTAGATACATACGATATCTTGCATAATTGCTTTTTCTGCTGAACGCAGTAGAAAATCTTTCACATATGGGTCGTAATTTGAAAAAATTATTTATTCAAGATTGCTTTAATAACCGTTTCTTTCCTTTATGCATAATCTTCTCGACGCAATCGTGCTTGTTGCTATCGCATTTTCACGGAAATGTTCATCGAAAATATGTCATATACGCAGAGAATATAACTGATTCCGTTTTTAATTTATATTAACAGCCATGTAATTTTGAATGCAACGGAAGACGAACCGTACTTTATGCTGCGGTTGAAAAATCCAATTGACGAGACTTTATCTTGTTTTCAAGGATATTTTTTTGTCTAAAATGTTCTTGACGCTACCTGTTCTTTGTACATTGTTCTGCAGAGAAAGTTTTCTAACAAATAGCATATTCATTTCTATGAAATTTCGACAGAGAACGAATTGAGAATCCTGATACCTGAAAAAGGTCCAGTCGGGCTATCTGGATTTGAATTTTCGAAAATATTACGTTGCAAAAAATCGTTACAAGTAGATTAATATGTGAAATATATCGGCAACTTGTCAGGCTTGTAAAAATTAATTGCTCTTTCTGGCATTAAATATTCCTTCGTTTGCTTGTGATATATACATGCTACTCGTTAGCCCATGCAACAGTTTATTATCTTATTTTTTTGCACCACGGAATATAATTACAATATTTTTACAATGTTGATTTTAACAAATTAATAAATTACAATATTTTGTCTCCTGCTGGCCTTGCGTTGTTAGTCTCGGCCATGTTATTGACAACGGTAATAGACATCGGCGTGCGAGGTAAATAAAGCGTACTATCTCGTCGAGCGGAGAGTCGCCGAGCGGATTGGCGGAGCGCGCGTTTTCCGCGCGCCGGGATACTTCCCGTGTAAGCGGGAATCTTTGCGAATCATCGGCATCGTCAAGTGCCACGAGCGATATATCGCCGCTTCGTCGCAGCTTTGTCGTATCGGAATATCGTTGTTGTTAAAAAACGCGTTATGCGCGATATTGGGATAGGTCGATACTTCGAATTTGCGATAAAGGGCGCAGGCGTAAAACAAGCGAGAAATTCTATCCCGCGCGATGACACGCCGGCAGCGCGTTGTCGAATAAAGGACGAAGCTGTCCTAAAAAGGACTCGCGGCGAGATCCGAGGTAGCGGAGGGGGTGGAAAAAGGGCGACGACTCTCGCTCTCGCGCCCGCTCGTGGTACGCCACTGGCTGCAACTCCGCACCCGATTGGTCGGCGACCGATGCACGCACACACACAGGGCCGTAATACGCCGATGTGCGCACACCAGCGAATACTATCGGCGTGCGTACGTCGACAATCCCTGGAACGGTGTAGGAGGACGGGGGAAGGGTCGAGCGATCGAGACCCGATTATGCCCGAACATCGGCGGACGTATCCGATGCGAAATAGTCGACAATTGACGCGATAGAGAGTTTGGCGAGAAGGTAGCGGCATATCGGGCAGGGGAGGGGGAACGAGAGGAGGCACGCTGTTCTCTCGAGTGAACCGCTTCCCCCTTTTTCAATTTTATCATACGATCGACGTTGCGACTCGAACGTCGCTACGTAAAATTAGACGAAATCTTCTATAATTCTGTTATGGCTTTCTCTTCTTTCTCTTTCTATCTTTCTCTCCCTTCTGCTTCGTCGCTTATTCGAGCGACGGAACTCGAGATAAATTGCGCGAGGCAAACGTTAACCGATGAGAACCGTGGAAAATTAATCATGAGGCACCGTCTCGAAACTCGCGAACTAAATGTGCGAAAATGTTTAACGCAATATTCGCGGTCCTTTGTTGCTGTCGAGCATTTATGTACGTAAGTACGTCTGTCAGAATAAATTTCTCGATGTTTAGACTCGTACCAATGGACGGCCCAGGCACAGTTACATGGGAGGAATTCCTCGAGAATGCAGAAAGGCTTCTTGTTGTTTCAGACAAGATATCGGACGGATGGAAGCTCTACGGGGACAAGGTACATCGTGTACCATCGAGTCACTTATACGCGCGAATTACATGCAAATCGAATGGACGCATAAAGCATGCAAATTGAATCATTCGATTAACATTATTAATGGATTTCACAATTACGCAGTCTATTCATCCGCTGTTTATTGTAAACACACGAAATGTAAAATTTCGTAAAAATTTCACAAGTAGTTCGGGTAGTTATTTAAAATTTCGCAATTTTTAAGTTTTTTTTGTACAATTTCGTAAGCTTAAACGCTCAAAATGTGGTACCATTTGCGAGCTCTTTTAGGAGAAGTTAAAGTTATTAATAATTATTGAAAAATATCTACTGCGTATCCACAGCGCGTCATCGCTCTTATTATATTTAAGACAAAAATATATATATATATAATAGATCTGAAAATGATTTTGTCGGACTATTAAAATAATCATGCAAGAACATACTAAGCAATTCTGCAAAAAGTTTTGACATTTTTAGCAAAATTATTTTTAGATCTAACTAAATTTTTAGATGTTTCAGTAAAATCGTTTTTTTTTCTATGCAAGCAGAACAACAAGTCACGATAACGTCAAAATAACGTTAAAATGAAAAGTGACTTTTAATAATTATTTCGGTACCATTTGAATGCCATTTTGATATTATCATAACTTTTTGTTCTACTTTCCTGAAAAACAGTAAAAAAAAATCAGAATAACTTTATTTTGCCAAAAATCAAAACGATGATTTTCATGACGTCAAAATTTGACTGTTTATTAATGTTAATAATCAAAATAAATTCATTTTGACTTTTTGAGTTGACTTTTGTGTGTTTCTTGAGTTGGGTACCGAACGACATTTGACATTATAATTTTTATGTCCTTATCCATACTTAGGATATTCCTGGACAAGCTTATCTAGTTAGAAGAGCTAAGTGCTTCGTTCCAAGCGACACGACCGCAAGAAAGGACTGCTCGACCGACGATGATAACGATACCGAGGAGTTCCACATGAGATTTCGGCAAGATCCGCACGAGGCTGCTTCTACAAGTGAAACGCCTTTTATCCTCGAGCATCACGTTCTGTGGTCTATCAGCTATAGCGTCCCAGTTCTCTTCTTTAATGGCTGGAAATCAGGTAATCCGAAACGACAAGAAACTTGTAAAATATTTAAAAAAGATCCATCACCTGCACCTTCGTGGAAAAAGGGATTCGTAAGAAAAAAGAGGCTTATACCATAAAAATAAAGAAAGGTTTTCTGAAAGGACGCGACATGGGGCACCTTCTCGAAATTTCGTTTATGGAAGTATGCACAGCTTGAAATTTGCGGTTGTCGGCTACTGCACATTCGTGTGCTACCCTGCCTCGCATGCATCGTTTTATTGATTATAAACGCAAACGTGTCCGACTATTTCAATATTCGCGCAGATATGTCGACGGTATTAATTAATCCCGGTAACGCGTTTCGGTGGAGCGGAAATGCGTCATGTCGTTTAGATTAATTAACACTGATCACCTTTTGCGTATTCATCAGCGGGAAGAGGCAATTGTCGTGAGACACGCGCATTCCTTTTTTTCTGCTTCATTTTGTTCCTCTTTTTTTTTAGATTTCCCCGGGATTAACCCAGTGAGCGTAAATGAGGCTCAAACGATCCACGGTTACGAATTAAATTACACGGAATTATCGCAAGCGATTCACCCTATCGTCGGCACGCCATTTCTGCAATTACATCCGTGTCTGTCTCAAGGGTTGTTGCGGACCATGTCAAAGAGGTGAGGAGTAGCAGGAAAATTAAGAGAAGAAATGAGAGCTACATCAAAAGAACTTTATATCTTTTTGAATAATTCTCGTTATTCATCGTGACATAATTTTATAATTGCAGCAAGAATAAACTCGTCAGCTGGCTGAGCTGCGTGGCATCGACGGCCCTAAATCTCAAAATACATCCCGAGTATTTCAAATTGACTCACTGAAGTCCAAGCCGAACATTCGAAGGAACAATTCAACGAAATCATTTTCTAGAATATTCTAGATCTTGTAAACCAGTGATGTGCAACCAGTACTCGTTATTTTCCGAACAAATAAAATCAACAGAAAAAATCTGATTTATTTCATTTGTATAAAATAGAGAAAATAATTTTATGTCTTTGGTTTCCATACAACACATTTTATCCAAAGGACATCCTGGGAATATTTTAAGACGTTCAGAAGACATTGAGATGTTCTCTGGACGTCTTTAAGATATCTCTTAGAGGTCTATACTATATCGATGTGTCGCAAAAAATTCACAGATGGGCCACATGCAGGCCACAAGTTGCGCATCACTGCTGTATAACCATTTCTGCGAGCATTGTACTTTGCATTCCAACTTTATTGAAAGAAGGAAAATACAAGCCATAAGGTCTGTTTTCTACTAGCTAAACTAGTATGACACTTTTGGAATTTAAAGTAAAATAGATATATGTTTGGTATTTGACGAAAGCGAGAAAGCAAGTTCTAGTGCATTCTATAAAAAACAGACCTATATGTTATTTTTGTGAGCCCGTCGTTTAATTAACCGATGATTCATACACATCAAAGAGACTTTCCTGTATAAGTACCTAAGCATATTTCAAGACATCATCCTGCGTGCGGGAGTGTCTCATCTCCGTTCGATCATGCGCGAATAATTCTAGTCATGAATATTCGATGGTGACGACGATTCGAGTGGAATCCGTTCGCGGTCGTCGACAGCGGCATGGCGGATCTAGCGTTGACCCATGGTGGGCCGAGCAAATTGCTCGCAATTGGGCGGCATTTCGAGTGCACGCGCGGGAGGGGAAACGGAGGGCAAAAAAGGTTGGAGTGTGGAAAAGAGAGCACGCAATTAATGCGACCGCGCGCGCGCGGCAATTAGTCCGCACAAGGACGCATTTGCGTGCGGCCCCGGGAATATTCGTTCACGACGAATGCGCAGTTTTCGTATGTGCGCAAGTACGTACAGTCGGCTGCGTTAACGATATCCGGTACAGGGCGGTTAACGCCACTTCTCGCCAATTTTCTTTACGCTGTTCGCGAACGCGGGCAATGATCGTCGAACCGTACAATTACATAAACGAAATATAAATCTGAAGTATGAGGAGAAGTCCAGATGTAAAAGAATAAGAGAATGAAGATGTTATTGGACGCCGTTAAGACTGTTAACACTAGAGAAGTAGGTATCCCAAGCAGAACGATAAGTCACGGTCAAAATGATGTTAAAATGACGTTAAAATGAATCGTAAATGATTGAAAAATTATTTTTAATAATTATTCTGGAGTCATTTTGACATCGTTTCGATATTATAATGACTTGTTGTTCTGTTTGGGTATCGAACGGTCGTTAATGACCGTTTATATTTTTTTAGATTATATTTCCGTAAAAATAGGATTCTAAAATTTGTTAATTTTTTAATAATAATTATGCTCTTTATACTGACAAACTATTTGGTTTTCCATCACTTTATTTATATAGTATTTTATTTGTCCTTTTACGCCTAAAAGTGCCTCCAGCCGATATGGCCAATGTATAGGCTAACTTTGCGCACATTTGCTAAATATTGACTACATTCATTAATTCATGAATAATTACATATATTATTTATGTATGATATTTGCTAATGTTGGCATACGTTGGCCATATCATCTGGAGGCGACTTAAAAAAGTTAATGGCTAAGGAAAAAGTCAACAAAAAATGAAAATGACTTTATTTTGGTCCTTAACGTCAATAAACAGTCAAATTTTACGAGGGAGTAATCACTTAATGTAATCGTGGGACAGAATCCCCGAAATCATTACAAAATTTATATAAAATCCCATGTGCAACTAGGAAAAATAATTGTATGATATTAGATAAAATCAATTATTTTACCAAATGACTTCATATATAATGAAAAAAATTATTTGTCATCAGATGAAATCGTATGAAATCAAACGAAATCATATAATCTATGGAACAATATTTCAGCTTATAATGGTTACCCCCTCGAAATTTTATAACCAAAAGTCATCATTTTGACTTTTATGACGTCAAAATAAAGTCTCTCATTTTCTCTCGGTGTTCCTTTAGTGCTTTTAATACTGTTAATACAGTTAGTTGTAAGGCAACGCATCCATCCTCACGAACTCGCGCTCGTATACGCGTATTTCGCGACGTCGCACGCGCGCCAGTGGTTCTCAACCGAGCCGCCGCTCGGCGGACACTTGTCGATTAACAATCCCGTTAGCCCCGTCCTCCGGGTTCGGCCCGTGCGTGTGACGAGTGTCCGGCGTCCGCCTCATGATACACGTGCCGCTCTAAATTACGATAGCAAATGTACGCGATGTTATTCATGTGCGACCTCCATTCGGCTAGCTCTCGCGCAAAAAGAAAGAAAAAATGTCGAGGTTCCTCTTTATTCTTCAGCAGCGGAAAGGAGGGAATGGGAGAGCTGAAAGTGTGTTTCGACTGAATGGGGCAACTCGATCTGTTCGATACTCGTCGGGAGAATAATCGAAGTAGCTTTTGTATGTAACGTGGGTCGCGAATCGGGGAACGCACCAACTTCCCATTTGTCAGACTTAAATGATGCTTGTTAAATCCGGATCTACAATAGGTGTTTTAAGCCTTAAGCTGTAAGAAATTGACCAATTACAGTCGAATGCGAGGAGAATAATTGACTGCGATTCGCCCATTTCTTATGGCTTAAGGCTTAAAACCCTATTGTAGATCCGGAGTAATGTCGATTAAATATTTCCGTTATCATGAACGGAAAGATCGGATTACTTCCGTTAGAAAAAACAGTCATCTCGTCTTTGTGCAGTTATTAAATACTATTTATTTATATGACTTTTTTTAAATATAATGAATTAATATTTATCAAACCGATTTTATTTTATTATCGTGAAAAATTATCGTGTTGTAGTAAATTATTTTAAAATGTAATATTAATTTTTCAGATGTAGATAACTCGCTATGCTAATTTATATTAATATTTGTATAATATTTCTATATTACTATAATAAATAAATATATTTCTCAAATATATACTGATACATTCGGAAATCTTTTTATGCATCTTTTCATCTGCATTAAATTGCTTTCTTGAAATTACAAGCAATATGAAGATCAATTATTTCTATGCAAATCGGCAAAATAAAGATTATTGAGTAATAATGAGAAATTGCTTACATTATGAAATTTCCGATTCTTGATAATGCAGCGCGATGATATTTATTGCGAAATGAATATTTATTAATTTTATCTTTTGAAGTCTGATATCGTATTCGATATTCGAATCGTCAATGCAAAAGATAAATCTTTTTAAGATTATGTATATTTACTTTTGATATTTTCTTTTTATCATCTTTGATAAATTTTTGTGACATATTTTAAGTGACTTTTAGAGAAGCTTTACAGATATTTTTTTACGTTATCGTTGTTATTTGATATCATCAAAGCTATTTTTTATTGTTTTAGCTGCACGGAAAGGATGGTTTTGCAGAAATATCCAAAAATTTAGTTAAATACAGATTTGAAAATAATTTTGTTTGGATCATCAAAATAATTATGTAGAATGTTCAAACTGGTTGCGAGAATATTAAAAACTTACAAAGAGAAAGGGACACAACTGTCTCCCTCCGATTTTAATGAGCTTTTAATATGTTATTCTCCAGACAAAAATAAGCGCGACACGTATTTTTTTATACGTGCCCATACGCACTTTTAGGGGGTGAAAAACCCTTTAAAAGAAAATCGGTTTTTCTTTTTCGAAGCGAATATCGCCAGAACTGTAAGAGAGAGAAAAAAATTTTCATAATATGAAAATTGAATGGCTTCAAGAGTACTTTGAAACTATAAAAAAATTTTTTTTAATTATTTATTTGTAACAATTATTTATTTATAAAGAAAAAAATTTTTTCTATCTCTTAGTTCTGACGATATTCGCTTCGAAAGAGAAAAACCGATTTTCTTCTAAAGGGTGTTTCATCTCCAAAAAGTGTGTATGGGCACGTATAAAAAAATACGTGTTGCTTATTTTTGTCTGGAGAATAACATATTAAAAGCTCATTAAAATCAGAGGGGGACAGTTGCGTTCCTTTCCTTGTTAGCATTATTCATTGCTTGATATTCCAACGTAATTTTTATAGTCTAATAAAATTATTTTTAGATGCGTGTTTACTGAATTTTTAGATACTACAGCAAAATCGTTTTTTCCTTGTATCATAAAATTCATTAGTTACGCAAATTAGCTCTCTCTCTCTCTCTCTCTCTCTCTCTCTCTCTCTCTCTCTCTTTCTCTCAGTGCAATTTGTATTTCTTAATTACTAATTAATTAATTTTTTAATTAATGTGTTACGTTATTTTTTGCATATTTTTTGTATTACATTATGGTTTGAGCTTTTTACTATCATTTTTTGTTTTTCTTATTGTCATTATTTTTTGTTAATTCTTTACCACTTTTTTGAATTTGGTTCTTAATATTTTTTATATTTTCATTGTTTTTTAAAATCATGTATTATTTTTAATGTTTGAGAGAATACAATTCTAAAACGCCTAACAAATAACGATATCTATAATATCTCTCTCTCTTTTATCGTAATATCGCACCGAGATATAAATATAGCTCGAGACAGCGGAGTGAGAGTGATCCATCGGGGCAAGGAAGCGGTCGCTGGCTCCACCTACGAAGACACGACGAGTCGAGGAGAGAGAGAAGCTCGTTTCCCCGTCACCCGCGCGCTTTTCGAACACGCGCGGACTCGAGCTTGAATTAACCCTCGTACTATCGGTAACGGCTCGCGATTACGCGACTGTGCCTCACGTGTAACAGGAGTATAGCGTCGCGTCACGTCGCATCGTACCGTGGCATCTTGTAGCCAAGTAGTCTCGCTGTTGTCGGATTCTCTGGCGATTTTTTTGGTCCTACAGACGTACGTGCGATATCGCGAAGGCGAAACGAACGGGTTTCTTGCACGCGCGCCTTCATAAAGTGGAGGCGTATCGAAAAAAAAGGCAAAATTCTCCGTCTCTCTTTTCCTCTTTTCCTTTCCCTCCGTCGTGCGCGCGACGCCGCCGTGTCCTGAAAATCGATAAAAAAGGGTGAGGAAGGGTTCATTCAACGGGAGAGGGGTGGC